CCAACACAATTTGAATAATTTGTTTGTTTGAATTTCGCACAAAGTTATTCGAGGGCTATCTGCCCTAGCCGCCCTTAATTTAACAGTAAAAGACTAGAGGAAAGGGGTAGCTAGTTATCCCCCCTCCCAACTCTTGGGCTACTTTTTTAACAACGAATAGTGGGATTGACCGTCACGTTATAATGCCTCCACGGCTGAAAGGGCGAGCATGTTTGGTTTCATGTGGATTCGAACCCGCGATTCTCAGATTGCGAGTCAAGTGCCCTAACCACTTGGCCATGCCGAGCCAAATTCGAATAAAACCTCGAAATGACATAGCGAACCTTGATCATTCTTTCCATCAAAGTAGGTATTACTTACACGATTACTTAAGTTTTCTTTAAGTTAATTAATTTATAAATCACATGATTACTTACACCAGTAATTACCACTGAATTCAAAGTGTTGTAATTAAGATTCGAGGGCTTACTCAAACCCAGTTGTGCCAAGCAGATGAACTCGCATTTGTTACCCAACAGCAGAGAACACGTGCTAACCTGTGATTGGAAGACTTCGGGAACGTGAACTTATTACCAAAACGTATTTGCTTTTAATGATATAGATCCAAGAAATGTAGGATTTTACATAACGAAGGCATGCTAATCTTTTCACTGCTCTACAACACATACAATTACATGGTAATTCTGTTTCGTATGACAGTAATTGAAATCAATAACATTTGTAATTGAACTAATCCAGAAATGTTCGTGTTTTATTAGTAATTTCTTCTGTTCACTAAAGTCTTTAATTGTCGAAGAGCTATTGAAATACAGTTATAATTTAAATATAACTATAGTTGAAACTTTTAGTAAAGAGCATACTTTGCGTGTTTGGTTATTATTAACGTCAGTTTGAATTTTGAACTTTGATTGTTTCAGTATACTAGAAATAAAACAACATATGTTTGTCGATTTACTGATATCTTTAATGTATTTTTTACATGCATTACCACTTGTTTGTGAAAAGAAAATTTCGCATTGACTACCATCTCGGTCAATATTTGTATAGTTTAGGATAAAAAAAGTTGAATTGATTTTTTGTGTGGAATTTTCACTTCCGTATATACAAATGTATTACAATTGGATTCAGTTATATTTCTTGATATAATATTTTAATAATAATCCAAACTGCTAGCATAGTAGTAAAATATTTTTGGGCATATACTAAAGAAATATTGCTATAAAAATTGTATAGTAAACTTAGAAATTTATAAATAGTTTGCAAAATATATCATTACATATTTGAAAGTGTATCGATTTTATGTGGTTTTAATTTTGGAAAGACATTTGAAACGGTGAATAATGGTCAACAAAAAGGGGCGAAAACACATAGGTGCTCTCGTTAACGAACCGTATGGAAAACGTAATTTGATAATTTGCCAAATCTAACGGTATAATAACAAAACCATAAGTATGATGATAATATAATTGCTATAATAAACTCTGGAAAAATATTTTCCTGTTTTACATTATAATAAAGAAAAAAATACATATATATATATATATATTTATAGAGAAAGTAAGAGGTAATTACTTAGCCAATGACACGAGTTTTCTGTGTTTTTCTCATCATTTATGGTTTTGAACGACGCCACTTATCAGTATAAAAATGAAGCAAAAATCATTTACATAAATTTCTATTTCTCTCTTCTTTATATTATTGACATCATATTCGACTCTTGTAAGTCGTTTGAAGTAATTACCTGGACTGTGTTCCGAGATATTTAACGATAAGCCAAAAGAATATTGATGTTGTTTTTATAAACCTCCCTTCTATGGTCTTTAGTGATATAGAAAGAGCATAGTTCTGGAGATTAGTTTCAATATGAAAAGAGACACTAACGGCTAAATTTCTACCTTATACGTTGATTATTAGTTGTGATGTTGTCCAAATTAAAATAAGTTTTTAGGATCAATTTTAAATATGAATAACAAAGACAAATACTCAACCACAAACGTTATCATTCTTGAATAACTTTTTTAGTATTTTAAATATTTTTACACTAATATAACTGGCAATGAGACGAAAATAATGTTTTTGCCCGGGAATTAAAAGAGAATAAGATATAAACATCAAGACAAAATGTAAAGATTTTTAAATGTTCCTACTAAAACTGTTTCTTTTCGAGCACGCGTTTATCGCTACGAAAGATCGAACTTTCGTTGTTATTGAAAATCTTTTTAGTTGTTATTGGTAAGACGTGAAAATAAAATTATTTATTCATATCCTGTATGTAGTCAAACTACATAGGAACGACAAGAAACGAAAAAGAAAATATATTGTTTAAGCATTATTTTATTAAATCATATAGTACCATCTCGTAATTATGTTTCGAAATAAGTAGGGTATATAATTTTAACATAACTATCTGAAATGACAGTAAAAAAATTACTTTTTTTTTACTTGTAATATAAGGATTTTTACTGTTACCATTGCCTACGGTTATTGTATTGAGTGGAAGTTTTATTTCAGAATCCAGTATTTATCATTTTTAATATGGAAGGTAAGGTTTATATGTATTTCATAATATAAATAATAGTGCATTCGTTCGATTTATTTTAAACTACAAAACATATAAAACGTTGTTGTGCATCTGATTATTACAATGTAAATATGTGATGTGAACATATAGTTTTCTCGATCTGGATAGCTTATGTTGTTTAAATCATTTAACACGAAAAAAAGATAAATATGGAAACAGATACAAACAATAAAATGCTAAAGTCTCATACAAAAATTGAGAAGAACAATTGAAAAAGATAACAACAAATATAAATCAAGTTTTTCTATAAGATCAATTAAAAGGTACAACTAATATTCAGCATACAAGACCAACTCTAGAAATACTGTTTTTTTCTGTACCTTTCAAAACACTAACGGTTGAAGAGCGGTTGTAAGAATATGATAATTATAATATGTTAGCTAATAGTGAATATCTGTGTTTGTTGATATAATATATTAAATATGAATAAAACTCAAGATAAAGATAAGTTGGTTAAAACTATATTTATAGAATAATGTTATATCAGGATTTAAAATACGTATTGCAAATAATCAGTAATTTAAACAAAGTTAAAACTCTAATTTAGAGGCGAACCAGATAATTTTATGTAATAAAAGAAAGAATAAAAAGTACATCATAAAGAATTAGACAACTCAAAAGAAAATGTAAAACTAAAAGAGTAAAAATCAAAAGCGCGAGTTACAAGAATGAATGCCCGGCATGGCCAGGTGGTTAAGGCGCTCGACTCGCAATCTTCGGGTCGCGGGTTCGAATCCCCC